TAAAACAACTACTTAGAGTCAATCTTGTAAGAATATCCATAAAGTGGCCCATATGCCACATGTTTGTTTTATTTATTTATTTATATTGTATATATTTATTATATATATTTAATTGGTTTAATGACTAATTAATTGGTTTAATGACCAATTAATTAGTTTAATGGTTAATGGGTAACTGTATGGTGGTTTCATGGGACTTTACAACTTCCCTGATGGTGGAAAGTTATAAGGAGTTACACTTGGATATGGGTCCAAGCCTATCTATATATATGCCTGTGATAGCCATCAAACACAGATGTTGTTTTGTGCATAGAATAGGCTTGAAACCCTGTCCCTTTTACTTTTCTCATATGGTTCTGTAAAAGTGTTCTATGAGTGGCCTTCTTTATACATTCAAGACTTGATCATTCAAGGATAAAGATTCAAAGGCTTGAAGATCATGGCAGGAGGTATTCTTCTTTCTGAATTAAAATTAATTTAATTCTCACAATTGGTATCAGAGCCAACCTTTGTTATGTTGTTTAGTTTTATTTCAAATTCTTACATCAAACTATTATCAATTTCGTGAATCGAATCAAGCCTATTCTATACATATGGTATTTGTATATAAAATTTAACAATTCAGAATCATTGTAGAATCAGAATGAGTAATTTATATTGCATAACTTTTGAATATCACTATTAAAGAAAAAGGAAGCACTGTTGCAATAGTAGAGTCCATCGTGATTTGTGCTAGTGGCATGTACATTTATTTAGAATTTTCTCATATTCTGAATCTATTTTATTTAGGAGACTTGTTGTGTGTTATTAACTATTATTTTTGACACACACATTAAAGAGCAAAATATTTAATCTGATTTTGTACAAAATCTAGAAATTCTCATACTTTTATTTGGATTTATTTGGTTTATTTTAAAAAGGCATGAAAGCCTTGAATTTATTTCTAGAATTTTCATAAAGAAATCTTAACATGCTGTTAAGGATGTTTTGTTTATTATCATTGCATGTTTAAATAGTAAGCAAATTCAATTGAATCTCATGCAGTGAATTATAATATGTTTTTTTAGTTTTTATAATTTTTGAGATTCATTGACATGTTATCTAAAATAATGTAATATTATATTACATGCATTAAGGTAATTATTTATGCATTGAAAATTCATGTGAAATAAGAGTATGAATACACTATGTGTTGGGCTTATGGAATTTATTTTGGTATAATTTTTAAACAAATTCTAGTATAAGGTTGAACTACATGTGTTTGGTCTTGGGATTTTTCATGCGATATTACTCTGATTGTATGTATTATACATTATGTGCATTGAAAGATTATGTATTTGTTGTGACTATAAGGATTTGCTCACATTAATAAATTATGCCATATTTAAAAATTTTATTCTGCTTTAAGAGTAGCCACAACATCTTAAGACATAAAGATGTGATCCTTAGTATTTTGATCACATAAAGTTACAAGTTAATTTGACATTTTTACATTGCAATTATGTTTTATAAATAATTTCTTGGTCCCACAGGAAAGTAATTATTTATGAAATTTAATTGGAATAAGCTAATGGATTGGGTATTAAAGGGATTGAACACTCTAAACCCACAGGTATGAGTTTTCTTTTCCTTACATATTTCGGAACTCAGTAGTCTTATTATAAAGTAATAGCAAATCTAATATAGTTTAGTGACCTCTACCCACAGGAAGGTTTAGATTTGTTACTGAATTTGACATTGGTTGATTCAGACTATAGCTACTGTTTCAAAGCATTAATAATGTTCTTGGTAATTGGAGCGATTTCTACCTCTGTACTATCTAATGAGTCTTCTCGTATTCCATTCTTGGGAGGACAAAATCCTTCTAACATTAGAGTTCATGGACCTCGATCTGGCACTCTGTGTGGATAAACCTCCTGAACCCACGGACGAGAGTTCCGCTGCAGAAAAGAGTACTTATGATAAGTGGGAGCGATCCAATCGCTTAAGCCTAATGCTCATAAAGTCACATATTAGCCAGAGCATTAGGGGCTTAATCCCACCATCTGATAAGGTCAAGAACTACATGAGGGCTATTGAAGAGCAATTTGTTAGTTCTGACAAAGCATTGGCAAGTACCCTAATGAACAAACTATCAGGAATGAAGCATAACAATTCTAGGAGTGTGCGTGAGCACATTATGGAAATGAGGGACATTGCAGCTCGTCTTAAGTCCTTAGAAATTGAGATTTCTGAGTCATTCCTTGTCAATTTCATACTCAATTCTTTTCCTGTGGAATATGGAGCATTCCAAATTTCTTACAACACACAGAACGAAAAATGGTCTATCAATGAACTTTTGACCATGTGTGTTCAAGAGGAGGAGAGATTGAAGCATGGAAAAGTGGAAAGTGCTTATTTAGCAACATATAAAGGAGGGTAATGGAAAAAGGGCAAAGGTGATCAGAAATGGAAGAAGCTTGGTAAAGTGCCGTTTAAAAATTATGGCAATAAGGGTGCATGCTTCTTCTGCAAGAAAAAGGGTCACATGAAGAAATATTGCCCCAAGTATAAGAAATGGCTTGAGAAGAAAGGTAATCTCATATCTCTTGTGTGTTATGAATCTAATTTTGTTAATACTCATCAATATGATTAGTGGATTGATTCGGGTTCTACAATTCACATTGCTAATACCATGCAAGGCTTCCTCAGCCTAAGGAAATTGACGGGAAGTGAACAAGGCATCTATTCGGACAATGGGATGCGTTCGCACGTCAAAGTTGTTGGAACTTTCAAACTTGTTTTAAAAATGGCTTTGTTTTGGATCTTGAAAACGCATTTTACATTCCATCTTTTTCAAAAAACTTAATTTCTGTTTCTAGACTAGTACCATTTGGATTTGAATTTCAGTTTGTTGGTGCAAATTGTAGTTTGTTTAAAGACTCTGTTTCTGTAGGATTTGGTACTTTAATTAATGGTTTGTACAAATTAAATCTGGATCCTATTTTTGAACAAAATCTTTTAACCTTGCATGGTGATATTGGCATTAAGCGTAATATTGTTGATGAGTCCTCCTTTATTCTTTGGCATAGAAGATTGGGACATATCTCCATTGAGAGAATAAAGAGGTTGGTTAATGATGAAGTCCTTCCGACTCTTGATTTTACTAATTTTGGTATTTGTGTGGACTGCATAAAGGGAAAGCAAACCAACAAGACTAGTAAAGGTGCCAAAAGAAGTGAAGAAATTCTTAGAATCATACACACTAATATTTGTGGACCATTTACTCCACCTTGGCTGAATGGTCAGAGATATTTTATCTCATTTATTGATGACATCACCCGACACATGTTTCTCTACCTCTTGTTTGATAAGGCCGAGGCACTTGATGTCTTTAAAGTTTATAAAGCAGAGGTAGAGACACAAACATAAAACAAAATTAAAATTGTGAGGTCAGATAGGGGTGGAGAATATTATGGAAGGTACATAGAATTAGGACAATTACCAGGTCCATTTGCTAAGTTCCTTAAGGAAGAAGGCATTATTGCACAATATTCAATGTCTGGCACACCACAACAAAATGGTGTTGCTGAAAGAAGGAACCGAACACTTATGAACATGGTAAGGAGCATGCTTAGTTATTCTAATGTGTCTATAAATTTATGGAGTGAAGCTTTGAAAACCGCTATGTATATCTTAAACAGGGTTCCATCCAAGGTTGTTCCCAAAACACCGTTATGGAAATGATAGAAGCCAAGTTTAAGACACTTACACGTTTGGGGTTGTCCAATTGAAGTGAGGGTGTATAACCCACATTTAAAGAAATTGGACCCCACAACAGTTAGTGGTTTTTTCATTGGCTATGCAGAAAACTCCAAGGGTTACAGATTTTATTGTCCTTCAAATTCACTTAGAATTGTTGAAGCCAGAAATGCTAAGTTTATTGAGGAAGTTGACCCTAATGGGAGTTACCCTTGAAAGATAGAGTGGAAGGAATCACGGGATCTTGATACAACACCCATGAATATAGGTGAATTGGTTGTCTTTCAAGATAATCAGCCCGATAGTCTTGAAAATCAACAAATTCAAGAACTTCCACCACAAGAGGAACAAGTCAACATAGAGCCTGTAGCTCAAGTCCCAATTGAGATTACAGAATTAAGGAGATCCTCACGAGCTAGAAAGTCAGCAATTTCTGGTGATTATTTTGTATACTCAATGGAGTTTGATTTTGACATCGGACCTAAAGATGATCCTATTTCATTTTCTAATGCCATGAATAAGGATGATTCTAAATTATGGTATGATGCCATGAAGGAAGAGGTGAAATCTATGGCTAAGAATCAAGTTTGGGAAATTGTCGAGTTGCCTAAAGGAGTTAAAGCGGTTGGCTGTAAATGGGTCTATAAGACCAAGAAAGACTCCAATGGCAATGTCAAACGATATAAAGCCAGACTCGTAGCTAAAGGTTTCACTCAAAGAGAAGGCATCAATTATCATAATACATTTTCTCCAGTTTCTAAGAAAAAAAAAAAAAAAAAAAAGGATTCATTTAGAATTATCATTGCAAAAGTGGCTCATTTTGATTTAGAGCTACATCAAATGAATGTGAAAACAACATTTCTGAATGGGGATCTTGAGGAAAAAGTATACATGAAGCAACCTGAAGGTTTTTGTTCTGATAAAGATAGTCACTTAGTTTGCAAGCTCAAGAAATCCATATATGGATTAAAACAATCTTCCCGACAATGGTATTTAAAGTTCCGTAATGTTATTACTTCATATGATTTTACAGAGAATGTTGTGGACAACTGTATATACCTTAAGGTTAGTGGGAGCAAATACATTTTTCTAGTTCTATATGTGGATGGCATTTTACTTGCATCTAATGATTTGGGATTGTTGCATGATACTAAACACTTTCTTTCTCAAAACTTTGAAATGAAGGATATGGGTGAAGCTTCTTATGTCATTGGCATACAGATTCACAGAGATAGGTCCAAAAGGATATTATGACTATCTCATAAAGCCTACATTGAAAGAGTTTTGGAGAAATTCAAAATAAGTGATTGCACTCCTAATGCAGCACCCCTTTTAAAGGGTGACAAATTCAGTTTAAGTCAATGTCTGAAAAATGATTTGGAAAAGGAACAAATGGTTAGCATTCCCTATTGTAGACAACCCATTTTTGACCGACCTTAAGACTCAAATGTCACCAGTTGAGCGCTCGGTGATATTGCATATCGTGCCCGTTCAGAAGTTTCAGAGTCTCGGCAGCGAGCCTTGCCTCCGGACTTCCGGACTCTTTCGTACCTTGCCTCGGTTTGTGAACCAGGCTCTGTTTTCTCTGTTTTTTCTTCCCGAAGGGAGAGAGAGGTCTCGTAGATCATCCCTCAGTGGCCGTAGTCTACGTTTCATGGTCGTAGGCCATTTTTCCCATTTGGAGCCTGGTTTCTGATTTTTTCGGAGCCGACGGTTGTGCGCCTCGGTTCGGGACCGCCTAACCACCTCCGTTTGCTCCGATTTTTGGTATACACCTTATTTCCTCCCTTTTGAGGAACACTGTGGCCCGAGAGACCAACTTCGTGGTCGAATGCCACCTCCGATGCTTAACAGCCCGTTTTCGGGGCCCCGGGCCGCGCGTTTCGGTCCCCGAACCTCCGTTTTGCATCCGTTTTGGTTCATTTTTGGTGGAGACCTTATTTTCATTGTTAGGAAGCTTGTAGGAGGGTGGGAGGCCAGCAATTGTTCTAAAAATCCAGCTTTATTTCTTCATTGCTCTCCGTCTCCCGTTTTCCTCACTAAAAAGCTAATGTTGACCACCTCGGGGCCACTTTCTTTAGCCCTAAACCCCATATTTGTGTTGTACACACCTGGGAGGCCACCAATATGTATAGGCCGGCCAGTAATTGTCCTTGACCCTTTTGAACCCCTCTAAAAAGTTGGCTTTTCTCTTTCCTGGTTCACATTTTCTGGGTTTTGACCACATATTTGTGTTGTGCACACATGGGAGGCCAGCTTTTTGTGGTGGCCGACCAGCAATTTTGATTGACCCTTTTGACCCCTGGCCGGCCGGCCATGGGGGGTGGCCGGCCGGCCACCTGAACCTTTTGAACCTGGCCGGCCATGATCCTCTCTCCAAGTGTATTCCAGCTGTGCCAACTGTTTCCCCCCAGATCCTGTATCCGAGGGGCTGCCTTTTGGAGGGAAAGTTTGAATTTGTTTTTCCCCCCATTTCCTTGGCCTCTCTCCCTCTTTATAACCAGCACCCTACCTCATTTCTAAGGGTTAGAAAAACCAGCTGGGATTCATATATACACCCTTCCATATATCTCTCTCATTCAAGCCTCCAAACATCCTTGTTCTTGACCTTTACACTACACCTCCAAGTCTACTACCTCCACACCCTATTCCAGCACCTTGGAGGCCATTTGCAAAGGTTAAAAGCTCAAAAATTTGGACCAAAAGCTGCTAGAAAGCTTCTCTTCAAGGGTGAGTCCCTATTTTCCCTTTTCTTGCCTTATTTTGCATGATTGGTTAGCCTTATTTGAAAGTATTTTTGGGCTCCGACCTGAACTTTAAATAGTCATATTTTGAGCTCTTCTTCATGTTTGATCAAGGATCTTTCTCTGTTTGAGGTCTCCTCCTCCCCTTTTGTGTTTAAACTCTTTTTTAGGCCTATTTTTGCATGATATTTGAGGCTTATTTTTGAGCTGTTTTGGACTTGATCATAAACTGTGAAATGTCTTTTTTTGAGCCCCTCTTCAACTTTGTTGAAGGGCTTTCCTCTGTTTGAGGTCAGCTGCTACCACTTGCCTCTTTATCCCTCTCTTAGGTCTTTTTCTTACATGTTGTTTTAGCCTCACTTGTGTTTATTTTAGAGACTTTATATAAACTGTAAAGTGTTTCATTTTGAGACCCTCTTCAACTTTGTTGAAGGGCTCTTCACTGTTTGGGGCCAGCTGCTTTCCCTTGTCTCTATTCTCTCTTTTAGGGCCATTTTTGCATGATAGATTAGCCCTATTTGTGTTCACTTTTGAGATCTGTTATAAACTAGAAAAGGCTTTTTTTGACCTCATCTTCATGTTTTATTAAGGGCATTATTTTATTTGAGGTCACATGCTTCCTTGTATGCTTGATTGTCCCTTGTTTTGAGCCTTACACCTAAGCCCCAATTGCATGCTTTGTTTGGCCTTCTAGCCACTAAAATCCAGTGGATTTTTAGTGGCTAGAACACTATTTTGAGAGCCAAGATTAGAGGGGGGTGACCCCCTCTCTCCTTCTCTTGTTTGGTGGCCTTTTTGGCCTTCCAAAGAGACCCTACCTTGCATGCTTCGAAGTCACTTTCCAGGGTCAATTTGGTGAGTTTTAGGACTACCATATTTGATTTTCATAGTTGTTTATGCCATGCTAAATGTCTACCTTGCATGTGCTTAATAACTCCTTGCATGGCCCTCTAAAGTAACTCATTATTTTTGCATACCATGGTTGCATATCAGTGGTTATTTGGGCCTATTTTCACATGATTTATTCACTGATTTTTGCTGGTTTGGTGAGATTACATTTGCTTCATATACTTGCCATGTAAACCATGATTACTAGTCAAGATTGCATGCTATTTTGTCCGCCACGCTAGCATCTTTTGGCCATGCTTTGAACTGGAAATGTACATGTTTTAGGACTGCCTTGGCTCTGTCTTCATGCTTCATGATCAAATAATGCATGCTTTGTATAACTATAAGTCATTCCATGTGCCTAATTTCGAGTTTCGGGGTTCATCTCATGCATCGGGTGCCATTTTCCATCTTTGACAGAACTCGAAAGTCATAAGTGACGGGAGTGAGTGTCAAAGCCTAGGGACGACCCATTTTTGACAAGACCGAAGACTTAGACAAAGAAAACAAGCTACAAGCAAAGATATGCGCCCGAAGGCAGGGGCAAAATGCAA